AGAGTCTAGATGTGGATACAGGGAGGAACGCGGCGACATTGATGTTCTAAAATTCACCTCTAGTCAGATGTAAGGTCGTCGGCAGGTATGCTCTGGAGAGTGCATCAGCCAGGTACTGGTTCATGCCACACTCATACTGCACCTCATAATCACATTTCTCAAGCCCGCGGATTTCATGGTAAAGATCATTCTGGTACCGTGTCGTTACCATGGTCTTAAAATAACTGAGGGATCAAAATACACAAAAATAGTATTTTCCCACTCGGATTCTTAACTAGTAGAACAATTCTTTATGACTCAGCTTATGTATATACAAACTTTTAAAAAACGTTACCATTTTTCTACTGTCCACCATCTTTAATCGTTCCCAAAGTGCATTGCAATTTACTGATGACTCACGCATGAAAGATGTTTTGCAGCGATTATTATGGCTTCCAGTCCCAAGAGAAAAAAAATATGACTCCAACAGTTTAAAAACAAAACAAATTTCACTGTTGAAACTGATGATGAGGCCTGAATCTCTTTATGAAAAGACAATAGATCTGTAGCGAACATTTCAAGTGAGTGTACTTTACTTGAATGGGGGAGGAGCCCGGAGATTTTGACGCTTAGTGCACACACATTTGACCTTCTTCTGACATTTTAATAGTACTCGCTGATGTTCTTTAATTTAAAAGTATGTTTACCAACATGTTTCTGTACATTAAAAGAAATGAAAGTGGGTTCCCATGAATTTTCTTGGAACCAAAAAATTGTTACCGATGGTTTCCCATGATCTCTGGGTACGGAACCAAAATTTGTTATCCATGGGATTTGAAATCCTAGGGCTTGATTTCTGAAGTCTCATCATCATGCCTTGAAGGCGTTTTGGTGCACACGCGAGAGACCTCTTCAGGATTGCAGCGGCTTGTGGTCGCTTTGGATTTTCACGTGGCGTCTGTAGGTGTACTGGTTAAATTTCCCAAGTGAGAATACGATTACGAGCATTTCTTTCTCATTCTGTGTGTATCGTTGCTCGATCTCAGTGAGTGCTCTGCTTTTGTACGTGATCAGTTTGCCTCTTTGCAGGAGGGCAGCTCCTAGGCCTTTCTTACTGGTGTCACATTGGATTTCAAGCTCGAACTTTGGGTCGTAATAGTAAATTACTGGGGTGGTAGTCACAAGACACTTCACTTCTCTAAACGCGTTCTCTTGCTCTTCCATCCAGTTGAACTCTGTGTCTTGTCATGTGAGGTGGCGTATAGGCTCCATGTGGTCTGCTAGGCGAGGTAGGAACTTTGACAAGTAATTGACAAATCCATTAAGCCTCTGCACGCCTTCCACGTCTTCCACGTCTTCGGGTCAAGGCATCTCTAAGACTGCTTTAGCTTCGTCAGGGTCAATGTTGAGGCCGTGTTTGGTAAAGAGGTGACCCATAAATGGCACTTCAGTAATCCGCAGTGTCAACTTGTTCTTCTTGAGGGCAATTCCACACTCTCTGCATCTGGGAAGTAATGCCTCTAATTTAAGGTCGTGGTCATGACGAGCTTCATCTTTGGTGTCACCAATTCCGTATAGGAGGATCTCATCAGTGATGTTAAGTATTCCTTCCAGTCCGTCTAGGGCTTGACTCACCCATTTCTGGAAGATCTTGCATGATGCTGATAGACCAAACGGGAGTCTTTTCCACCGGTATCTTCTGAAGAGGGTTGCAAAGGTAGTCTAGAGACTGGACTTGTCGTCAAGCACACAGTGCCAGTACCCTGCAGTAAGATCAATGGTTGAAAAGTTCTTCACTCGAGCCAGCTCTGGTATTAAGTCGTCTAGGATTAGCAGCTGATGTGTGTCTCTTTTTAAGGCTTGGTTCAAAGGTCGTGGATCTATGCATATTCTTAGGGCGCCTGACTTCTTTGTAGCAATAACAACAGTGCTCACCCATGCTGTAGGCTCATTGACTTTTGTTAGTTCTCCTAGATTCTCTAAGTGGTCTATTTGAGCTTTGAACTTTTCTCTCAGGGCAGTCAGGATCTGTCGCAAAGGCGTTACGGAAGGTTCAGCATTTTCATCAACTCTGAGGTGGACTATACCAGGTAGGGTTCCCAGATCTATTACAAAAACTTCTGGATAGTGCCGGACTAGCTTGCCAGCTGTTGCAATGCTTCAGATGTCCTCACATGATTTCTTTGGGGAGGTGGAACAGAGACAAAAGTGATCTTCATGCACAGTTATCAGGTCCATTTGTTGTGCTGTACATGCTCCTAGCAGCGGTGTTTAGTCATCAGAAACAATAACAAACTCAATTGAATACTGCTTTCCAGTTTTAGGATTTGTGACTTTCAAACAGGTAGTTCCAAGTGGTTTCATTTCTGTTCCATTCCACATCTTCGGGGTTTTGTTTGATGGTGTTATGCGACGTCTCGTGGTGTGTCATTTAGTGATGATGCTTATCGAAGCTCCGCAGTCCATCTGAAATTAAGTTTTCTTGTCATTGATCTTCATCTCTGTGTGTATTTCTCTTGCATAGCCAGATGTTTGTTCAATTGCATGGGTAGATGGTTCCACTGTGATAACGGTGCAGTTCTCATGTCGCTTTTGCCATGCAGGATGTAACTCCTTTTTCCAAGGGTGATTCCCAGCGCAGAATTTGCAATTCTTTCGCTTTTGGTGTTTGTGATGCTTTGCATTGCGATCATATTTTTGCTTCCAAGGAGGTTTTGTCGGCTGCACTTTTAGTTGATGTACATCATCTGTTCTGCTAGATGCTCCTGAAATATTTTTAATTTGGGAAGAGGCAGCTTCACTACTTCTACTCAAATCGATGCATTTTTTAAGATCCAAATTTCTCTCTTGCAACAAGCATTTTGGAAGAGTGTGGTTGTTTATCCCGAGAACAATGTGATACCTTTACAGGCTGTCGGCGAGACTATCACAGAATCCACATGTTTTGACCAGAGATTGTAGTGCAGTTATGTATGCATTGATAGATTTGTCTTGGCCCTGATTTCGTCGGTTAAAGATGTAGCGTTTGTAGGTCTCGTTGACTTCTCCGATAGTAAACCCGTCAAGTTTCTCAATAATTTTGGATAAGGTGAGGCGGTCCGTCTCATTGGCGAACTACATTCCATTGTAGATTTTCATGGCATCTGGACCCAGGCAGAGAAGGAATAACGCGATTCTGTACTGTTCCGTTTGTCCATTAAGATTCGTGATGATAGCATAATTTTTCCCAGATCTGTTTGAAGTGTTTTCAACAACAACAAGTGCTTTATTTGCATGACCATAAATAAATTACAGTATTGCAAAAGCTATCAGTCTAAATTTAAGAACTAATGCAATTAATTAGTACGTGCAAAACATTACAAAACGTTACAGTTCTCATTCATCCATTCATTGATATTAATTTGGTTCTCAATTCAAAGCATTGCAAGATAAATGAAACTAATTGGCAGTTAATCAAATAATCAGAAGAATTCATAAGAAGAGATATTAAAGTATCGTGTGAAAATGATTTGAAGTCAGGTATTTTAGTTTCTAGTTTGGAGAAAAATGTGTCTCTGATCTGAGAATAGGCCTTACAATCTATAGTCTGCTACACAGCCGTTTTTAGAGTCGTCACGCAATGCTTCTCCCCACTAACAGCTGCTGAAAACGGAACTACATTCCTTTCCCTTGATTAGCCAATTATAATTTAGCTCCCATTTTCTGGAAGGTGTTCGCACCATGTTTGCGGTACTGTGACTCCTCCAATCACAGCTTTGCTGTTATCGGTGCCCTGTGTGAATGACAGAATAATCAAAATAGTCGCATGAAAACAAGCAATTAACTACAGTAGTGTTGTCTTAGTCGAGTCCTATTCAAAATTTAGGAGATAAGCAGCAGTAGCAGCAGCAAGCAAGTCGAGCAAATTGCGATGCACAACATGGATGTGTGTTTTGGGAAATCGCTCATCGATAATTTATAAGATCGCTTTTTGAATCAGTACCCTGGAGAGTTAAGTCTTCACAGAACACAATGAGCACATCCGGCACATTAAATTCTTCATTACATATCAGTACATATGCACGTTAAATGAAGAACCAACTGATCCTGATAAGTCTTCCAGGCCTATCAAACCTTTTTTTTCTCTTGGAACTTTGTTGACCGCTTAAAACAAACTTTTTGCAAATTAACTTTTTCCTTGCCTGAAAACACAATTCAGCGACGATTGATTTGTCGAAAACTGAGAAGCATGCTCGCTTCCTAGCGCCCTGTGGCTCACGTATTGTCAAATCTCTTATACATGATTGGCTTGTTCGTTAGACCACAAACACAAAGGGATAGGAATGTAGTTCAGTTTTCAGCAACCATTTGTGGGGAGGAGCGTTGCGTGACGACACTAAAAACGGCTGTGTAGCAGACTATGCAATCTAGTAAGAAATGATTTTCATCTTCAATTTTGTTACCTGTACAAAAGTAACATATCCTTTCATCACCTGTTTAAATTGTAAGTTGATGACTACTTATTCTAAATCTAATGCTTTTCTCGAAGGGTTTTTTCTTGTTTTCAGTTTTCAGCTATGTTAGCAGTGGTATCTAGAGGTTTTGGCGGCGTGATACCTTTATAAGGGGAGCCGCTTGCATTACGACTCTTGGCCGAGACAGCAGAGGAGGTGAGGCTTGTGAGACTGCAGATGTCCTTGTAGTTTCTTCTGAGTCTGACATTGGACTCTCTCTCTCTCTCTCTTTCTGTCTCTAAGACTCTAGCGGGGTTCTAAACCAGCTACGTTGCTCACACCATGTTTCACTATGCATAAGCTCCCCACAAAAGTTCAGTACTCAATTCATTTTAAGCAAATCTAGAACTAATAATGAACGAACTTGTTACATATAATAAGCTTAATGGAAGTTTGATTGACATATAGTAACAGAGATTGTTATTGAACTATCAAGCTAAAAGATAATCAATTGGTGAAAGGTGTGAATGCCTTGGATAGCATTTGAGTTGAAAAGGTGCCTTCCCACATAGTTTTCTGGTTGTCCTGCTTTGCCAAGAAATTTGAAATATTTTCTTGGTCATGGTTCTTGCCCCAACATTTCTTGTCCATTTCGGCCAATGTTTTGCTGATGGGCGGCCCTTTCTCATCTCTTATTTGTGAGAATAAACTGCACATGCTGAAGGTTCTGTTGTGCTGGACTTCATGGAGTTGCCTGAAAGTGAAAAGAGGTTAGCTGATTATAACAATACAAAGAGGCAGGCTTGTGCCAAGTTTTCCTAATGTGTACTGATGGGTAGAAGGCATTAGCAAGAGGAAATAATGTGGTGGATAGTACTATATCCTCACTGTCTACCACTTAACACATCGCGAAACTAAGTTATGGGAGAGAGATCCGCGGATTGTTGTGGAAAGAGGTAGACAGCAAGAATAGATCACGATATGTGAGGAGTTGTCAACCAACACCAGGGGAGGAGGGTGGGGCGAACCTTGATAAGTCGTCTCGGCGGTCGGCGCTGTGACACAGTGAAATCAAAGCCACGTGGTGTATTCTATTTATCAGGGGAGCCCGCAGTGCATTGATGCGTCCCAAAGGACGGCGGAGTATTTTACTGGTCGTTTGGTGATGCGTTAATTCATTATTCAGTGAGAATAGTACTATATCCTCACTGTCTACCACTTAACACATCGCGAAACTAAGTTATGGGAGAGAGATCCGCTCCTTGCCATTCCCTGAGGCAGCCTGCTATAACCTAGGTCTCCGACCCTCCCCCCAAAACACATCGACCTTATAATTTCAATACCCAACACTCAACACCCAATACTCCATGACTCAATAAAGATTTATTAACTGACAACAAACTAATAACCACCGGAGAGTACTGGGATGAATGTCCCTTAGTCATGAAAGATGTATTAATTCAACTATACGAAATTCTCTGCAAATTTCCTTGGTGGGAAAGTTGCAGGGTGGGCGGAGAGCTCGTAGAAGTAAGATTGAGCGTAACCCGTTCTAACAACTGCAACGAAGCAGAAGCACTGGAGCGGCGCGTGTAATACAAAGCCATTTCTGTGCTCCGCCAACCCACGTACTGAGCAATCTGCTCCGAGTACATCCCAAACCCTTGAGGGTGTATGAAATTCCTACACGAAAAGCTGTGAGGGGTCTCTCCGTCATTAATGTTGGCAGCCTTAAGATACTTTTGGAGCCGTGCAGATACGGCTGACCCTCCGAACGGACGATGTGACACAAACTTTTTATGCTCCAAGACCTAAAGAGGTACTCACCATGAAGAGGGACACCTAATGCCCCACACGCGGCAATATAATAGTTCAACCAAAAACCGGGCAGACAGGTACATTTGGAATACGTAACAGAGCAAAAGGGCGAAACTGACCTGCACGCCTCGTTTTACTAAACGTAAAGTTGAGAAGGAACCCCTCCCTATCCTTAAGGCGAAAAAGCTGATCTGCCTTCAAACGGCCCAAATCCGATGCTCTATCACCAGTGTAAAAGTCAATAACAAAGAATGTTATATCCCTGACCAGGAGGTATCTATTGAGAGGAGAAAGCGCAAAGCCTTCGGCAATAAGCCCGCGAAGATAGGCAATTAAACGGGTGAATTTGTCATAGAACAAAGGGACAGCCTGACGAGGGGGCAAAGGTTGCTGGGCTTGCTCCTCTCTTACAAACTTAAGATATTCCTTAACACAAGGATGTACCAACGGGTTAGAAAACCCTGTACGGCCTAACCTATTGAAAATCGCTCTAAGTTTCCCTATATATGAATCGACAGTTCCGCCGCTAGACGCTTAGGGCAACTACAGGTCTTACTAGAGCAAGAGCGCACATGGAGTTTCTGTTTTCCGCAGCATCCTTGCTAATCAAAAACTTTACGATGTCTTCGCGGTTGCAGCAGAAACTTTCTTCGGGGTACAAGAGAGCACAAGAAACTCGACAGCTGAACTTCTAAAGAGTCCTTTTGCCGTTCATAAGGTTTGCTCCTATACGATGCTTGGAACTCTGTAAAGCGCTTGTTGATCAAAGGCATGTCCGCATGTGGACGGGTCCCTTGCGGTGGCTCACGCGACAGGGGTTTACCGCAGGCCTGGTAAAAGTTCGCGTCACTGTCGTTTGGATAAGAGCAGGCGGGACATCGGCAGGCAGGCGGGACATCGGCAGGCAGGCTTCCATGGGCGTTCGATCTATAGAGACAAGCATAAATACCTAGCTTACCAGGAGCAGACACAACGAAAAACCCACAGATCCCAAGGCAAGGGCCTAGCAATGAAATCGGGGGAGGTGCGGGAAGGGAAAAGCAACACGGCTGGGTCACCTTTCCGCCCAAGAAGAAAAGAATCTACTGCCATTGCTTGGAGTATTGCCCACCAATAGCCATGCGGGCGGAAACGAGGGACAACGATGGTAAAAGCGAAACGCTGGCGTTGATCAAAAAAGTACCGCAGCAACGGTCCCACGAGAACGAAAGGGGGAAAGACATAGACTTTATGTTCGATTGGTATCGGTTGTGCGAAAACATTAACGCCCAGAGAATACGGAGTCGGCCAAGGCGAGTAATGAGGCAAAAAGCTCCCATCCCTTCCTCTGCGACAGTTGCTGTCCAAAGACATCAAGTCAAATGTGTGTGGTCCAAACCCGCTTGAACTTGGGGCCCACCTCCTCGGACAAGGAACAATCAATGTCAGTCAGAGCACGGGAGGGCGCGTCAGCAATGTTTTCACTCGATGGGACATATTTCAAATGCAAAACAAAGTTTCCTGCTCGAGACATTTCTTCTATTTTTTTCAACTCCTGATTCACCAGAGAACTCCTACAACCGCCATTTTCCCAGGCTGCTCGGAGAGTCGCGTTGTCCGTCCACACATCGATTCTTGCGTTTCTGATAGAAGGGAAAAAGGAGCTCAAAGCGTTACATAAAGCCCTGGCCTCAAGGGTATTGATATCACCTTCAAGGTCGATCCAATAATCTCGTATTTGCTGGCGTAGGCCATCTTTAACCAAGACTGCTCCCCAGGCCCTCTGGGAGGCGTCACTGAACATTGTGACAGAGAGATGATGTTCCGACCGCCAAGGTAAGTGACCAGACCAATTGTCCAAGAAAATCCATTCCTGAAGTTCCTGTCGCAAAGGTCCTAGGATTGGAACCAGAGCTTCAATTCTTGGCAACAGCGCTGATAGCCTTGAATACCTCCCCCACATACAGCTTACAAGCCGGGATTGCGAGACTAAACGATAGCGCCTTTCCCGCGGAAACGCTGCAAGCTCTTTACGGGCGCAAAAGATGATTCCAGGAGTTTGTCACATAACGCTTTAAATTTCTCCTTTTATCCAGTGGGACTAAAAAAGCTTGCAAGACAGAATCGGAGATGAAACCCAGGAATTTAACAAAAGTGGATGGCTGTGGAGAGCTCTTTGCAAGGTTAACAAAATACCCCGCTGAGATCAAAAGGAATAACAAAATAAAAGGCTGCTGCTCGTGCGAGTTGGCGACTAGGCTGGCAAACCAGTGGACCGGATAGGAATAACTGGCCCACATGCCTGTCATCAATATACTGCGAAACAGGTACGCCCAAAGACCGCGCAGCACTGGTGACGACAAGGCCAACGTTATGATATAAAAAGGCACTTGCTTTCCACCCGAAAGGTAAGGTGCAGAAAGAAAAATAAAAGCCCCTCCAGGAAAAACTGAAGAATTCCTGGGAGTCCGGGTGAATCTTGAGGTGTTGGTATCCATTCTTATCATCAAATGTTGTCTGGAAATGCCCTGGGAGGACATAACGAGGCAGGTCTGGGAGGTGGTCTAACTTGAAAGGGAGATCTTGAATCCATAAATTAAGAAAGCGCCGTCGTGGCATAAACGCGGCTTAGATGGTTCGACTGTCAAGGGAGGACTAAATGAGGAGGAGAGCATTCGCCAATCTTGCCGTGAGACTTTGATAACACCCTGAGAGACCCAGGCTAAGACTGTAGTGTCAATGAAATCGGTAAATTGATGGCAACAAGGAGAGTTCGGGAAAATAGAAATCGGCGGTACAGCGGAATCATAACTTTTCCCTTTGAAGTTGCCCTTGAAATGACGGAAGAAACTATCGACCCTCACTCCCTCTCGGATTATCTGTAGCAAATCAACTTGAGGACAAGTGTAACCGGCTGAAGAAAAGAGATCCTCCCAGAAGTCAACATGATTATGTAAGCTGCCCGCTTGGAAATAATCTGGGTGTCTAAAACGCAATTGGGCCAGGTCTGCAAGGGATGGATCTTTACTAACAAGCTCCGCCCGGCACGGTGGGGTCAACGAAGGATAAGGGTTCCCCGTTTATGTCACACCATTTGACGCCACGGCTCGGGAGCGCAAGGATTGCCCGTAGTGCAACCGCGAAATCCTGGGAAAACGGAGAACGAAAAATACAAAAATAAGAAGAGGAAGAAAAGAAGGTGGGATCCCCTATCCTTCGCTGACCCCAGCTCTGATCATAGACCAGAATAAAGGCGCTGAGAAGGCCCCCCAGGGTCAACGAAGAAATGAGGCGAAAACCAGGGGAAAAAAAAAAAAAAAAAAAAAAAAAAACTAGGACGCTAATAACTAGGGGAAAAAATCTTTATTCCAGCCAATAAACAAGGATAATATAGGAAAAAACATATCCCATACCCTTACAATATTTACATGATGCTAACGCCTAGAATTTCCGCGGCCACAATCTCTGGCGAAATGCCCTGGTAGACCACATCTGTAACAATTAACCGAACTGTAGACATAAGGGCGTTGGCGCCTAAACTGGCGAGTACTATTACGACCTTGAAACCCAGGCTCTTCACGCTGGATAGTCTTGCGAAGCGCAGAGGACTCCTTTGCAACCTTGGCTCTAACCGGATCGCCTAAGAGGCCCATGAGCAGCCGTTTATGGGCAGAGGGGGAGAGGGCATTAGATCTTCCTTTTAATTCATCCAAAATGGCCGCGTAATAGTCTGCCTTTTCGTGGGCGGACGACCTGGCTGCCCGTACCAGGGCCTCGACGTGAGCAGAAGCCTCCCAAGGGTCATAAACAGCTTCCGGCTTCTGAAGAGCGTTGCGAACAGAGGTAAGAGCAGTGGTGACCACGTCAACACCCTGCTTCTCCTCCAAAGCTTTCAATTTGTCTTCAAGAAGCTTAATTCGATCGTCCGCCTAAGAGTGACGCAAAATATGAAGTATATATTAACGTCTGTAAAACATTTATATGTTATTAATTTCGGTCCCAAGGCAGAACCGAAAGATCCCGAAACGAGGATATGCTAGATCCAAAATGGACGGTTAGGCCGTATAACAATAATCATTGGCAAATAAAACCGGCTGCCAGAGCAAAACGGTCCCGGACCGCATATATGACCAATACAGGCGCCCGGAGCCGAGCGGACCTAGCCCGCAAACACAATAAACATGTCACCCCAAACAAAACGGCTCCCGGGCGGGCGGTCCGGACCGCATACACGATAATATCTCACTCCAAACAAAGAAAAGAACCGGCTCCCTGAGCCGACCAACAAAAATTCTTTCTAAATAAAGAACAGGCTCCCAGAGCCAAACGTTCCCGGACCGCATACACTAAATACGTGGTTTTAAACAAAACCCGGCTCCCGGAGCCGAACAGTCCCGGACCGTATATAAAACAATTCGTTCCGAAAAGAAAGCCGGCTCCAGAGCCGAGCGGTCCCGGACCGCATACACTAAATACTTGGTTTTGAACAAAACCCGGCTTCCGGAGCTAAAGGGTCCCGGACCGCATACACCAAATACTTGGTTTAAACAAAAACCCGGCTCCCGGAGCCGAACGGTCCCGGACCGTATATAAAGCAATTCGTTCCGAAATGAAAGCCGACCCCAGAGCCGAGCGGTCCCGGACAGCAAACGCAATAACTCGTGTCTTGGACAAAACCGAACATACAAAACAAAAATATTTCGTCCCAAACAAAAAATCGGCTCCCGGAGCCAAATGAGACACAAACAAGCCGAAACAAAAGGACCGAGTAAAATGAAATACATATACGAACAACGCTAACAAAAGTGAAGAGAAAAACAAAAATATGCCCTAGAGACACGTGGAACATTAAATATGCTAAACAAAGTACTAGAAACGTTGGAGAAAAAACACGAAATGCGCACAAACGGCAGCTAAAGCTAAAAGCGAACGAAAAGCACCAGAACTAGAAATTACCTGATTAGCAGCCGCGGGTTGCGCCGCCGGTTCTGCGAGAGCTTCTGCGAGAGGTCCTGCAGGAGGTTCTGCGGGATGTTCTGGGTTAGCAGGCGGTTCTGCCGCCACCGGAGGTAAGGGCGGTAATTCTCCGGCTGGTTCCGCCATGTAGTCGAAGAAAAGACGGTTTGACGCTAGCGGAAAGTACAAGGAAACGAAGGCGGGCTGGTGTTGGTTGACAAACCGATACAAGCGAACCTCGATAAGTCGTCTCGGCGGTCGGCGCTGTGACACAGTGAAATCAAAGCCACGTGGTGTATTCTATTTATCAGGGGAGCCCGCAGTGCATTGTTGCGTCCCAAAGGACGGCGGAGTATTTTACTGGTCGTTTGGCGATGCGTTAATTCATTATTCAGTGAGAATAGCAAAACAGTCTTAACACCGTGGTGATCAACAAGAAAGCTCTCATGCAGTTAACTAGCTAGCATGCTTATGCTTCTCATGTGACGAGGTAGAACTGATGTTCTGAGTTGATACTGTCTTTTTGTAAAACATAGTAAGCATGCAAACTGCGTTGCTTAAATGGTATGGGATCAATGAATACATAAAATCAACTTAGTTAACTGGACCTTGTTTTAGTAGATTTTATGTCAAAAGCAAACTCTTAAATAATGACAGAACAATGTGCAAATGATAGAAATGAGAAAATAAAAATACTCTTAATGAAACTTTTTTATCTCAAGAAAATAAACATATATTTATTTACAAGTAATCTCACGGAATTTTTAAACAGTTAGACATTGCACCTTTTATAGTCATTGTGAGCTTTTTTCAGCATTTTTCAGGTGTTGACTTACAGGACATCAAGATCATTAAGGTTATCTTGAACTGATTTATCTCTAATACTGTGGACACTTGGGTGGAACATAGAATTTCCCACAGCACAAGCAAGTAAACAAGTTTTCAACAACTGCTGCGAGAAATGGTGTTGCTGCAACTGCACATAGACCACACATGCTAAAGCTCCCAGTGTTTTTAATTTCTCTACCCCCTGTTATGGTATCTAGATAGTGTACAATAATTGTTCACATGATGGTTGGTGTAAAAATTAGTAGAGACACTTTGCCCTAAATGGCCTTTCTGCCATGTTGCTGACTTTACATGAGAAAAATGTTGTTTTCTTTTCCAAATATGTCCTCCAATGTTCTGCTGCTGTTTAAGCTACCCGCAACAATCAAAACACCCCAACATTGAATGGAGTGGAGAGGGATGCAGAGTACCCTTTTTGAGGACAGGGTCTCAAGAGGGGTTGTTTGTTGTACCTCTTGAAGCAGTGACATGAGAGTTATTTTTTATGTTTACATCGTTAAGTTTGGTTGCTGAGATGTCTTTGTGTTATTGAACTTTCAGCTTGTGTGGCTTTGTAGCTTTCTACTTTCTTGCCACATGTAAATCTGTTCTTAGATTATGCCAGCAGGTTTGCTTCACTGTCATTCTCACTTTCTTCTAATGTCAGAGGTAGGAGAAGGACAGTGCGTTTTTTAGGTGGGGACGCAGTTAGAAGCACAACTGCTTTTGGCTAGACATTTTTCATTTTGCAAAGACTGAAGATAGAAAAAGATAGCTTTTGCTGATTGTTGTTAAAAACAGGAGATACAGATTCTGGGACCAAAATTGAGTTCTTTAGTGCTGAGGAGGCTGGGGTTTGTTTGAGGACATTGTGTTTTGCAGTGTTCATATATCTTTGTCTTCTTTGGCCTTAATTTCCCGTTACTTTTGTTGTTAATGTTAAATAAGCAACAGACTTCAGTGCAAGAGGCATCTGAATAGCTTTCTCTACAGCAAACTGTAGTTTATGTTAAACAGCAGTTACATGAACTGATGTCATCTGTTGTTTAAAGTGCTTTGAGGGAGAGACTGAGTTCTACACTTGACCAAGTGGGTCAATGACCCTATCAAGCATTGTCATTAAGCTTTTGTGGGTCTATGAACCTGTACATTTTCAGATGACTATTGTTTTCTCATTGACAGTCTTTGAACGGTGAGCAACTGGTTCATTTGACTTACATGTCAAGAGAACTCTCATTGCAGGTTACTCCTTTTTTTCTGTAGTGGACTTCAGCTTATCATGAGGTAAAATTAAAAGGTGGTAAATTTTCCACTCCAAAAAGGCCACAAAAGACTCCAGAAAGGTCTATATTATAGTGACAATAATAATACTAGAGAATAATAATAACATACAATGATTAAAAGCATATTACAACCTGGATTTTAGAAATCAGTGTTATAACCAATTTTATGTTTAGTTGATTTAGAAATATTTTTTATCAGAGCTTTTCCTTTTCCTTTTCCTTCTCGCAATTAGCTTATCAAAAGGGTTAATAAAAAGAGTTTTCCTGAAAATGTGCTTTTAAGTCAGGTCATGTCCCCAAGTAGAGCGAAGTTTCTCACGAGAATCAAATTTGAATTTGCCACGTTTGCTGACATCCCCTGATGAATGTTGTAACAACATGGAAAACCTAGTTTTACAAGTCAAGCTTGCCCAGACCTTACACTAACCTTCATTTTCAGAGCGAATTAAGTATTACTACACCTAACAAAAACACGCAAATTCTGAAGTTCAAAAAGCCAACAAACGTTCGCTGCTGTCAATCATCTTAAGGACCTTTTAGGAAACAGAACCTTATACTTTAACCTGTTCAAAAGCTCATAGTTTGTGATTTGTGATTGGTAGATTTCGATCCATTTTGTGTTTCTGTGTTTCAAGGTTTAGTGGTTGTGATTGTAATTACGATTGAAGGCAGTGAAAAACAACTTTGAAGACAGCTTTTAAACTTAACCGTTCACGTGTGTGAGAAAAGGCATGTCCTAGGTCTACATTATTTATTGTTTATAATCTATGAACGAAATGAATCTGTATAATTATCATACACATTCATTTAGTCTATATATTATAAACAATAAATTTTGCGAAACTAGGACATGACTCGTTTTTTATCCTATTTAAAAAATGGACTCCTCAAAATCCGGGAGTAAGTGCAGACCTAAGCATTTCTAAGCGTCTGCAAATAAAAATTATTTCTAGTAAAGATAAACTCAAAATTCAATGTCTATTATGTCACTAATTTCCCCTATGTGATTGGGAATAGCAGGAAAGTTTATACTGCATTTGCTGAAACAAACGATGTCTCAAAGGTGTGTCCCTCGCTGCATTTTGTAACAACTTTTCCTCATATGCAACGGGCCTTTTTTTCCCGTGTTGATAGCGGAGCTCCACGCGTGAAGCGCGCCAGCGGAGCACCATGGGTAAATAAATCTACCCATCCCAGAAAATTTGGTAATCACGTGACCGACCGACTGACCGTCCGTCCGCACCACAGGCATGCCAATGTTTACTCTCACTTTCTAGCTACTTTGGGAGCCCAGGAGAAAGCTGATTGCACACCATTGTTGCGGTCAATTGACAGCTGTCAAAACAGGGTATCTGCTGACCAGTATCACCTGACCGTATCGCGGGCTCAGGTGTCGACCTTTCAAGGTTGATTATTTTTTTGAAGTTATCCGCTGATAATTTACTTGTTTTCAAATGGTCGCTGGCTCATTTTTTTTAAAATTCATATCAAATATGTTGTGTTTATGTCACTGTCGCCCAGCACTATTACGGTTTTGATTTCAAACTGACCTCAGACGCAAAAATTCAGCCAGTTTTTTTAAAATACAGGCGGGAAAGAGGTTTTCTTACCCTGGTCACGTGTTGGTCTTGCTCCACGTCCAATTTTATGCTCTTATTGGTTAAAATTTGACAGGTGAGTTCATGCGTAAAATTTATGCAGCATATCTTGAAAGTTGTTTACTTTGACAGCTGAGGCTGACAGAGTTTTAAGTCAACTTGTGTTGTTTTTAAACTGTCTTTTTCCACTGAATGTACAAAATGAAATACAGCTGCTATCAAGAGTCTTCTCTTATTCATGGCTGGTTTGTTTCTTGGGTTTTTGGTTGAGAAATGCGTCGCTTGTCAAAGCCGATTATCCAATTTCGGATGGCATCGTTTTCGTTTTTCACCTTGCTGGATGCGTACGAGTTATAAAGGCTCAAGCGATCCTTGCCTTACTTGACAGCTTTCAGGAGCTGCATCTCGAAATATGTTAAGCCTGAGTAATTATTGTATTTATATCTAATTTCATGAAGTTGAGCGCAGTTTATGAAGCTAGTTTATGCACGTTTGTGTTAAGATTTGACTGCGACCCTGATCTGACCTAGTATGAGGTTTGATATAAGTTTACAGATTTTTAAAAAGCCTTTGGTCAATATGAATTCACCGTAAATAGAAAGAAAAAACTTTCCGAAGAATATTTAGTGTTAATTGGCTGTAGAAAGAAAGCTTTGAGCGATTTTCTTGTCGCGAGTTCATCTTTGAAAACAGCAAACACCGGGAAACCGGCCGGCTTAAAACATAAACTTAATCTTTAAGCTTATAAAAGACTTGAAGATTCTTAGAGACACCTAAATACTTTTAGCTCATTTGTTTTCGTGAATGAAAATTGTTGTCTCTGTAAATGTTCTACCGAATTATATTTCTTTTATTGATTGTTGGTAGTCTCAAAAGTGCAATTTTCATCGCCTTTGCGTTTGTTTTCAGCTGTTCATAAACATCAGTTGCAGGAGTACTCAAAATGCCGAGCGTATCCAACGCTTTTGAAGATTACACATCGTTATAAAACCATTATTAAAAAATAGAACGCAATAAATTCTCTATCACGTTGAAGCGTAACTCTTTTAATATCCAGGCCTGGCAAGTTCCTGCTGAAAGACCAGTTGTTAGCTGTGTACTGTATTGCCAGCCAGTTGAGCATTGACCATTGCTAAATTGATGTAAAACCAAAGTATTTCCACAGCTTTTCAGAAACTGAGTGGGGGAGAACAATATTTTTATAGTAATCGTATCTTTGATTCCATTCATGTCATTATCGGGAATAGTCATCAAATCAGGTTTTTTCATGTGATTGGGCGAACCACGAAATTTTTTCCTTACATAAGCTGCTGCACAGCATGAATTTTAGGTTGTTTAGTAGTGTTTCTTGATAGAAGACAAGAAATTTGTCTCCACACTTTTGCCACTAAATTTCTACCTTGAGGTATTTTATCTTTTCACAAACAATTTTCTCTCTCTTGTGGTCAACAGGAAAGTCTTTCCTACATATGTGTACATTGTACATTGCAGCAAGTGCATTGACTCCAAATCCTGCATCGAATCAGCTGAAGTAAACAATGATTAAAAAAAAGGCAGTGACTGTCCAAACAAAAGACCGGGTCTGTTTTCCAAGTCACTCTTGCCCCAATGTGTCCCTCCTTTTCTTACGTGTTTAACAGAAGAATACCTTAATGTTGTTTGGTGTCTCATTTTTCGAGTGCAACCTTACCATGCTCCAAGCCCATTTATGCATTCTGGCTTGATCAGCTCATGCAGCATTTTTGTACTGTCTTTTAAGGAGATGTGTTTATTAAGTTCACCTGTCTAACTCATATTGTAATCTAACACTATCAAGATGTTAATCTTCTTCAAATGACTGGGCAAATTAAAGTGTAAGCTGTCATTCATTGTGTCTACTTAAATAATTGTAATAAGAGATAAGACATGTAGTTGAGTGCCTTTCTCCCTATAAGAGGTCTGAATAATATTGTTTATTTAAAGAGGTAAAAGCCCAATGCAAATGAAAAAGGTCTATGACAGTTTATATATATATTGAATGAAAACAACAGCAGTTCTTTCCATCCTACACCAGCATTATACGAAACAATGACAAATGTTTATATCATTTGGATACTGTGTGGCTGGTCAGCCAGGTTAAGCGTAGTCTTGAAAGCGTGCAGGTGGTTTCACCACTCTTCTGGTTCGTGTGGTTTGGATGGAATGGCTCTGACTTGCACTTTGCTTAACTGGTGATCCTGTCTGGTTGGGTGATCCCGCACCTATTTGAAAGATTGATTGTGATTAGC